AAAAGAATTAAAAAATAAATTTAAAAAAAAAAGAAGTGAGGACCAAGGGACCACAACGGAGCTCAATCTCCATGCCCAAAAGACCAGAAGGACCATGTAGTATCCAGCTACCACTTTCCTAACTACTCTAAAAAGAATCACAGCAGAAGGTCCTGGACAGAGTGAAAACAAAGAGTAACCTATAACCTATAAGGGAGAACAAATAAGATTGTCAGTTTCTCAGCAGAAATCATGCAAATAAGTGGAATGACATGTATAAAACACAGAAAGAATACAACTGTTAACCAAGAATACTGTACCCACCAAAACTATCCATCATAAGTGACAGAGAAATCAAGATATTCTCAGAAAAGCAGAAAGTGAGGGAGTTTGTGAAAACAAGACTGTTGGTGCAGAAAATACTTCTTACAGAAATGCCACAGAAAGCAGGAGGGACCAAAGCAATCAGCAACAACACCAAAAAGAACTTGCAAAATAGCAGCAACAAAACCTTCCCTCCCACTAATTACACTGAATGTGAATTATTTAAATGCACCACTGAAAAGAAGAGCAGCAGAATGGATAAAAAAACAAAACGTTTCAATATGCTGTCTAAAATAGACACACCTGAAAATTGAAGATAAAGATAGACTAAAAAATAAAGGGGGAAGAAGGAAAATATACCAAGAAAATGGCAACCAGGAAAAAAAAAAAGCAAACCAAGAGTAGCAATACTAATCTCTGATAAAATAGACTTCACTGTGAAAACTATCACAAAAAATAAGGTCACTATATAATGCATAAAGGGTCAATAGAACAGAAGGACATTGCCACAATAAATATCTATGGACCAAATACTAGAGCTTCAAAATGTGCTAATCAAAATCTTTTTTCCAACAGGGTGAAAAGAAAACCTACTGACTGGGAACACATTTGGCAATATCATCTCAGACAAGGGGCTCATTATGAAAGTTTACAGAATACTCCTGGGTCCCTACAAGAAAAAGATTGATAATCCAGTTACAAAATGAGCAAAAGACATGGAAAGACTTTTCACAGAGAAGGACATTCAGAAGGCCACAGACACATGAATAAATGCTCCAGATCACTAGCAATAAGAGAGATGCAGATCAAAACCACAGTGAAATACCATCTTACCCCAATTGCAGTGGTGAAGTTTAGCAGCAGCAAGCAATAAATGTTGGAGAAAACATGGCAAGATAGGAACTCTTATACATTGTTGGTGGAATTGTAAAATAGTACAACCACTCTGAAAGGCAGTTTGGTATTGCCTCAAAAAGCTGAGTACAGAGATTCCACATGACCCAGCTACTCCACTGCTTGGAATATACTCTGAGAAAATGGGAAATGAGGCACAGAGACTTGCACATCAGTGTTCACAGCAGCATTATTCACCATAACAAGAACATGGAAACAGTCTAAATGCTGAACCACAATGCAATGGATTGAAAAAGTATGGTACAGTCACACAATGGAATACTATGCAGCACACAAAAGCAATGATTTTGTAAATTACTACCTAACATGGAAGGGACTGGAGAGCATTATGCTAAGTCAAATAACTCAGTCTCATAAAGACAAGTACTATATAAGACCATTACTATAAAACAAGTAAGAGGATGTGGGGGGCACAATCATAGGGTCACACAATTTGATGGGTGGAAGGATGGGTGGTTAAAAGAAAAGGGAAATATCTGGTGTGAAAAACAATGTATACAAACTTTTTAAGTAAATCAATATAAAATAAATTTTTAAAAGCACACATTAATGAACTGAAAAATTAAACAGACAACATCACAGTAGTAGTTGGAGACTTCAATACCACTCTCAAGAACAGATAACTACCAAAAAGAAACTCAACAAAGATGCTGAAAAACTAAACTACACAATCAACCAACTTGATCTCATAGATATATACAGACTAATGCACTACAAAAAAGCTGGGTATACATTCCTCTCCAACATGCATGGAACATCATATTTTAGGTCACAAAGCAAGCATTAGTAAATTTAAAAACATAGTAATAATACAAAGCATTTTCTTGGACCACAATGCTACAAAATTAGAACTCGATAACAAGAGTATAAAGGAGGGGGGAGGGAAATCCCCATACATTTAGAAGCTGAACACACCATGCCTGAACATGAGTGGTTAAAAGAAGAAATAAAAAAAGTTTCTTGAAACAAATGACAATGAAAGCACAACTTACCAAAGCCTCTGAAAACCAGTTAAAGCAGCACTTGCTGTTGTTGTTGATTGCTGCTGAGTTGAGCACAAATCATAGCAACCCTATGAACAAAAGACCTGAAACCTTTCTATAACTATCATCATTTCTCAAAGTTCATAGAGTTTCCAGAGGCATGTTGTTTAGGAAGTGGATGCCACTCCCACTTCCAACTGGTATTAATAGGCTGGCAAATATAGAAATGCACAACCAGGGGAGGATAAAGTTAATGAATGGGACTTTATAAAGATTAAAATACTGTGTGCATCAAAAAGTTTTTGAAATAGGGTGAAAAGAAAACTTACTGACTGGAGAAAAAAAGAAAAAACACTTGGCAATGCTATCTCAGACAAGGGTCTTATAACAAAAGTTTACAGAATCCGTCAGGGCCTCTACAAAAAAAACACCCAGTTACAAAATGGGCAAAAGACATGCAAAGACTTTTCAGACATTTGGATGGCCAGCAGATACATGAAGAAATGTTCAAAATCACTGGCAAAAAGATAAATGCAAATCAAAACCACATTGAGTTACCATCTCACCCAAAAGTGACAAAAGTTTAACAGGGCAGCGAGCAATAAATGTTTTCTTTCTTTTTTAAAAAAAATAATTTTAATGAGCATTTACAGAAATTTTGGATTTCCATTCATTCATTGCTGCACTTCTCTCCCCACCCAGCCCTCCCCCCCCAAAATGTTTTCTTTCTTGACTGCTGCTTCCACAGGTGTGGATTATGATAAAATAAGCCTAATCATAACAGAATCCCTAGCAAAATATACAAATATGCGCACGCACACACACACACACAATAGGAGACAAACATCACGTGAGCAAACAAAGGAACATTAAGGATCAGAAAATAGGGAAGAGGCCCACAGAATGAGCATGAAAGAAATTACAATTTGGATTAAGTGATGCTTTTACTGTAATAATACTTTTTTCTCATTACTGTTTACTGGCCACTATCTTTGTTATCAACATGTCCATCTTCTGTCACAAAATAAGGACCAGGAATTTGGTAATGTCAGACTGTACTGAGAATGCGACTAACTTTGCACAAATATTTAAATCTTGGTATCAGATTTTAAGTCTGGGCACTATAAACAACTGAAATAACTAGAAGCTCATTAGGTCAATTTATATCAATATGCAAATACACTAAAAGGGAAGAAAAATTATAATTGATTCTTTAACCTAACATCTCCAACAAGTTGAAAAAGAACAGCAAGAAAACCCATCAACCTCTAAAAGAAATGAACTTATAAAAATTAGGGCAGTTACCATCTCACTCCAGTAACAGTGGCAAAGTTTAACAAGGCATCAAGTAATAAATGTTGGAGAGGATGTGGTGAGACTGGAACTCTTACACATTCTTGTGGGATTATAAAATGGTACAACCATTCTGGAAGGCAGTCTGGCACTTTCTCAAAAAGCTGAACATAGAAATGCCATATGACCCAGCTATTTCACTACTTGGAATACATCCTGAAAAAATAAGAACTGAGGCACAAAAGGAGACTTACACACAGTGTTCCTAGCAGCATTATTTGCTATTGCAAGAACATGGAAACAGCCCAGATGTCTAACCACAAATGAGTGGATTGAGAAATTATGGCACATTCACACAATGGAATACTATGTGGCACACAGGAGCAATGATTTTGTAAATTATTACCTAACTTGGAAGGAACTGGAGAGCAGTAAGCTGAGTGAACTAACTCAGTCACACAAGGACAAATATTTTAAAAAATTATTATTGTAGAATAAGTATAAGGATCCAAGGGGGCAGGGGTGAGGGGGAAGCAGAGGGATGAGGATGAGCAGGAGGAGGGAAGATTAATCATAGGGTTGTACAATTTTATGGGTCAGGGGTGAGGTAAAT